TGCCCTCCCCTTGTCCTGGTTTCATCTGAGACAGTGCCTGCTCTTAAGGTAACAGGTTAACGTGAACAATGAGATGGAAGTGGAGGAATTTCTGAATGAGTCTTGTCAACACAGAGATTAATTCATTGCTGATGCAAGTTATCAAAGGTTTTGTCAAAAGGTAGTTTACGTATTACTTTGTAAATTTCTCAGTACTTAGCTTTTTGCTGTTGTTTAAGCAGCAGTTCAGCTATTTGGCATTCTTTAGGTGAACAGGCTTTTCTATGTCCATTCAACTTTTAGACTGCCTTGAGATAATTCAAGAGAGGCCACTTCAGGCTTCAGATAGCAGAATGGTGCCTTTGAACTTCCTTTTCCCAAAAGAAGTAACTGAGGATTTTGACCGAAAATTTCAAATGCATGCAAACAGGTTAGCTATCACTTTCTCTCAAAAAGGAATACAAATTTTGGATTGAATGAGGGCCTGCTTAAAACACAAAGTGTTTGGGAATGACAGCTCGTTTTACTTTGCTGCTGCTGCTGTTGGACCACTGTCTCAAAAGTCTTGGGGTGGTTGTGCAGCTCAGCTTCTTACAACAAATAGTAAGTTGAATGCTTTTACATATCTTTTATATGGAGTGTTTTCTTGGGTTAAGCCACTCTGTTTTGTTTTGTTTTTCATTTTTCAACTTCTGTAAATTCTCTCTTTTCCCCTTATCCCTCCTTTTCTACTTCTTTCTCCTTTTCCTCTTGTCTTTGTGTTCTCTTTATTTTTTAAAATTTTCTCTTTTTTTTTTTTTTTTTTAACTTTCAGACCAGACATCTAGTGAATTCAAATAGTAGTTAATCTGTAACATCTTGATTTTATATGTCTGCCTCCTGGGTGCTTCCAAAAGCTTCTATTTACAATTAGAAGAATTCTGCAGCTTTTAGTAGCTTTTGTTCCTTCTCTTCAACGTGAGGTGATAGAATAGTGAGTTGGACTTCTAAAATGCACAGAGGCACAATGGTATTTCTGTTCTTCTGAGTGTCACTTTTTACTGATACATATTTTGCAGAGGGTCCATTACTTAGATTTTGTTTATAAAGCTGTTGTTCAGCTTTAGGAAGTGCAGGTATATTTAATAAAGTCAGGTTTGACCCGAGTACTTGAAGAGATGTGAACAGGAGCTTGGTTTTGTGATGTTCTTTCTTCAGGCAGAGATTGTACTGCTATTGGTCTGCTAAGAGAGCTAATGGTGTGAACTATGGGTGTTCAATTTTTTGGGGCTTACCTGTGCTCCACAGTAAAGAGAAATTGCCTTTTTTGTCAGAGATTTTTAATGAGATTTTACATTTCCTGTGCATCATCCTTGAAAACAGTTGTTCACAAATGCACATACTGCCAAAAAATGATGACATGAATAAGATGCGGTTGTGAAATGAAGGATATTTCTCTCTGCTAAGATAGGGCTTATTAAAGTCCAATAGAGAGACATGATCAGAGTTTTGGGTTGAATATCTGCTTGCAACTCAATGCATTCAATTTGAAAATTTGTAAGCAAGTACGTTGGCTGAAAATGGAGTCTCAAATATACACAGAAAGTAGAAAACTTCCTTTCAATCTTGAAACCTGTTCTCAGATTCCTGTATCAACACAGACAGTACGGCTGTCAATGTATCAAAATCCATAAAATTATTTGTACTGCACTGCTTTCTCTGCCTTGTTTTCAGTCCAGACAGAGTTAATAGCACACTGCTGTTTTGTCATTGCGGAGTGAGGGCTGTGTGCTGGGGCCAGGTCAGGCTGCTGGGCGTCCCATGATGGTGGTGAGGTGGGGGCCTGGCCTCAAATCGAGCTGTGCTGGGCTGCAGGCTGGACATGACTGGTGTAAATAAGAAGACCTGCAGCAGGAAGCACCAGTAATTTGCAGCAAACGTGTGGGAGGAGTTCATACCATTTATACAGGAAAGAAACTGTAAGATTGCACAGTAAAGGGTTAACAGCTGACTGGTGACTGTGAACTCTATCAGACAATGAAGAGGGCATAGCTGAAATATTCACAAGCTTGTTTTTAATTGAAATATAAACAAAGCTGCTTTCATGGGAAGTGCCTTTCAGATACCCTTATTTCTAGCTGGGAAATAGTTGTACAGAGTTTTTGTTTGCTTTGCAGATTACATACCAGGCTGCTTGTGGTTTTCCACTCCTGTGCTTGTGTAAAAAAAAAAAAAAAAAAGGCAGTGTTAGTCAGCATCACAGTGGTCCTTCCATTTTGCAGCCTCCATGCTGTAAAGATAATAGCAACAACCCATGGCCTGAGACAAGGATGATTTGAGTCTTAGTTTATTATTTCAAGCAAGTTCTGTTAGTGGTGGGAGTGCTTTGCTATCTATAAATGCTTTAGGTCAGGTCTTGTTCACATACCTAAGATTGCATAGCAATGGAGAAGATTTAAATATTATTTCATAAGAAGCTCCTCTCCCCTTCCTCCCCCCAGATTTTTTTGTTACTGAATTCCACTGGCTCCCCAGCGTAGTCTGATAACCAAGGCACAGAGGCATGGACAAAAATAAGCAAATGGAGTTAAACCTGTGATTGTGGTTCCCATCTGCAGGAGAAGCATTAGCCTCTCCTATTTTGTAGCAGAGTCATCTCAACCTGCATTATAATTGGGAGGCATCTGTCTCGAGGTTTGTATGCAGAGATGAGATGTCTGTTACACTTAAGATGTGTTTTCTTACAGCTGCAGTTCTCAGTAGGTCCAGCTGTATTTAGCCTACAGAAGGTTGTATTCCTAGGGAAGCTCAGGTGGTCATCAGATACACATCAATTTGACCAACCCACATTCAACTAAACTTTTTTTTTTCCTCAGATAATAGTTATAATAAAGCAGTAATACTTAATCTTGTATGGAAATAATTGTTCATGGCTTAACATCAATCTTTATAATACTTGGAAGGGCCACTGAGTTCAAGAGGAATATGACCTAAGACTGTGTTTCCACCAGTATGAAATACACAGCATATATACAGTATATCCAGTGTATGTATACAGTATATACAATATATCTGAGCTGTTACAGATACAGATTTTCTTAATTCTTCCCTAACGTGCCCATTTCTGATGGATTTCCTTTGAAGTTCACTTTAAGGGCTGGCGTGGATCTAGTTCAAAAGGTGGGTGTAGTTAAAAGATATTTTGGTAGTTTTTTAATGCTTTCCTCATCCGTTGAAGTAGTTGTTCTGTACAGTATGTGTGCTATGTGAGGAATTCAAATTGTTTTCATTCAGATGACTGATTGGCAGCTTTTCTTATCTCAGGCATTTCTTTTAAGTACCTTGCATCCCATGTATGTAAATAAGAACAGAGCCAGACTGTGCCATGAAATGTACTGAAAAATTTCCTTACACTTATTTCAGTGGAGTTCACAGAAACGGGAAGAAACTTTTCTTTTTTACACTATTAGTAAGACTTCTTTATGGAAAAGACCTTAACTTTTAGTAAGGGTGGAGTTGTTCTGTATCTTTCTTCTTGTTGTTGTTGTTTTTCCTGTCTGTCTTTTAAAATGTTCCTAGTATTCCTAGTATTCTAGAGATAGTACTTGGGAACTACTTCATCTATGGTCTCCTCATTTGTGCCAGCAAGTGTTTAGGTGATTAGAGCTGTTTAGAAGATGTAATTATTCAGATGTGTAAGCTTGCACGGTAGAAAACAGTGCCATTGTACCTGGGCATATGTGAACTGGTTTTGAATCACTTTAGAGTATACCAGAATAACATCAAACTCATTCGACTGTGTCTAGTTATAACAAAGCACCTGTAAAGAAAATAAGAAATTGGTTTTTTTTATAAAGTTCTTCAGTAATAAGGAACTGAGCAAATAGCCCTGAGCAGGTGAAGTTCCTAAGCCAGTATCCATTGTATCTGGAAAGTTGTGGCAGTCTGGTGAAGTTCCCAGTGACTGGTAAAAGGGGAAGCATAACCCCCATTTTTCAGAAGTTAAAGTGGAACAGTAGGCCAATTAGTCTCACCTCTGTGTCCAGTGAGATCACTGAGCACATTCTCCTGGTGACTGTGCTGAGGCAGGTGGAAAACAGAGGTGATGGGTGGCAACCAGCATGGCTTCACCAAGGGCAAATTGTGCTTGAGAGGTACTGTCTAGGATGGTGTTACAGCATTGGTGGATAAGGAAAGTGCAGCTGACATCCCCTACCTGAACTTGTGCAGGGCATTTGGCACTGTCCTGTGCAACATCCTTGAGTCTAAAATGGAGAGAAAAGGGTTTGATAGATGGGCCACGCAGTAGATAAGGAGCTGACTGGATGGTCTCACTCAAAGATCTGTCTTCACTCAATATCCAGGTGGAAACCAGTGATGAGTGGTGTTCCTCTGGGGTCACTATTAGGACTGGCACTATTTAACATCTTTGTCAGTGACTCGGGGAGTGGGAATGTGGTGCACCATCAGCAAGTGTGCTGACAGAACCAAGCTGAGCTCTGTGTTCAACATGCTGGGGGGGAGGAGTACCATCCAGAAGGATCTTGACAGGCTTAGAGGTGGGTCCATTTCAATCCACCTCACTGTCCACTTATCTAACCAATACATTCAGCAGCAGGCTGAATGAGTGAACTGGATTAACACTCCAGTTCTCTATCACCGTGGTGTGTAAGTGAACACAGACAGTGTGTACAGTTACATGGGAAAGTTGACTAGAATTATCTGTCTTGACACTGTGGACTGTGGAATGCAGAACAGCTTGTCTCTGCTATTTGTTTTCCTCCTGGATGTTTTTAGCAATCAATGCACTGTTGTGAAATAAAATGTTACTGCTTAAACAAGTGAAAAATGGTCCTATTAAAAGAAAAATTGTTCTATAAACCCTTCTTTCAGGCAGTATAAGGCCCATAAAAATGTGTTGTTTTTTTTTTTTTAATTTATCTCTTACTTTGTTTCATTTGCTGCAGAATCTCAGAGTTACACAGAAGCCCTTAACCATCCTGCAATAGTGTCTGACAAATCCATCGACGCCAACCCTGCTTTGCTGAGACCCAACACACAGGTGGATCCTTCCTTTCAACGCTGTTTAGTGTCCTCATGTCCAGCCTCAAGTAACAGTTCTGTGCCAGTGGGAGAAAGGTAGGAAATGATTGTCTGATCTGAATGTTTAGTTCTCATTACTGTAGTTTCCAGCCAGTGTGTTACATCTAAATCTTCGTTGCAGACCATTTGGCCACCAACTTTGATGTGTAACCTGTCATGATGTTGTTGCCCACCATCTGGAAATTACCTCTTTCAGAGATGTTGCTTGTATGTTTGAGATGGAACACACAGTTTTAAGGATAAATTAGGAATGCAAAAACGAACAGAGATTTATAGCTCAATTCCTTTATTATGTTCTAGCAGAAGCTCATACTTATTTGCTGGGTTTTTTTTTTTTTTACCAACGTCTCTAATGCTTTACTGAAAAGCATTTTGTGAACCTTTACATTGGAATGAGTTGTATGTGAGAGAGAGACAGCAATCTCTGCAGTGCCCATGTTTATAGTCAGTAAAATGTCAGGATTTGTATTTTGTGGTGAATAACTGACGCCCTTCATCAGAGTGAGAATTTTTATTATATTATGGTTGCACTGAGGTAAACATGTAGGGCTCTGAAACGGAGTTTTAATAACATAAATTTACAAAATAGTACTTGTCTATCTGTAATAGTTTCCTTCTTTGTCATTCTACAACAGCATTCCTTTGTGGCTAACTATTCATATTCAGAATAATTGGCTCCTTCTTCTCAGTAAGCATTTGGAATGTTGGTGTGTCAAACTCTCATTAAAGGCTTACAGTGTGTTGATTCCTATCTGTCTTCATATCTAATAGATTTCATTTTCTTGAACTGAGAAAGAAATTTCTTTTTGTAATTATGAGTGAATCAAGTATGTGACATTTCATTATAAGTGGATATGAGTTAAGAGCTTATAAGGCAATGTGGTCATTATCAAGCTTGCATTCCTGCCGTAAGCTTTATCTCAAAAATTTTGTTCCCTTCTTTCTAAACGTCTTTCCTGTCATTTTTTTTCATTTAATCTGCAGATAAGTACAGATGTTCCCTCCCCTTTCTCCACTTCCCTTCTCCACCTACCCCCCTTTTTCCACATCTCAGCTCCTTTCTCCCTTGTATTAAATTAATGTAAGAGACACTGCATGTAAGAAATGTTGTAGCAGTGTCAATCTTATTCCATAAATCTGTCTTTGATGACAGGTCTGGCTTAAGAAATTCTTGCCTCTTACTGCTCTTTTTTCAGCCAGCACTGTGGATCGCCATAGATCTCCAGGAGCTTTGTGAAGCAATGTTTTGAGCAGTTTAATAGAATTAATTCATATTAAAAGTAATGCTCTCAAATAGGAGGAAAGAAGAGTGTTTTTAACAGTGATTAATTTGATGGCCTGACTTACAATGCAAACTCAGAAACTCTATCATCACCATGGCTGGATTGAGGGTGAGATGAGACAAAGTAATGAACTAGACTGAAGAAGTGAGTATTCAGCATGGGGAGTTCCTGGTTCCAACTTGATCACCAGGTCCTGCATGTTATCAAACACATCAGTGATAGTCCTGAGTGAGTGAGTGCTTTCAGTAATGACCAGAGGATAGACTGATATGACATTTTTAGAAAATGATTTGCCAGTTTTATTTTTGTGTTCAATTTTTGTCTCTTTTTTTTTTTTTTTGACAGCTCTCTTGCGACAGAACATTCTTGGATTGAAAACAGCCCTAAATCTTCCAAATTGTTCCAGCTTTCAATAGAAAGCAACAGGCCGACAGGAAGCTATCATGTGCCTTCTGAATTTTCAAACCCTGTGCAAGATGGTTCTCTTTTGTCTCATTTCCAAACCCCAGGGCTGCAAGTTGTCACCCTGAGCAACCTGGAGAAATCACCAACAGAGCAACAGCCAGCACCTGCTGTCAGTAACAGTGCTCAGGCTTACCGAAGCTACAATGGGGCCAACGTGGGCATTAGTTCCCCCAAAGAGGAGAAACAAGCTACTTTCGTTGCCAACACTAGCATCTCTCCTAAAACCATGAGCTCATCTGTAGAAAGTGCAGAAGATGATGGCTTTTTGGCTCAAAACTTTCTTGCTATGACCTCCGGACGTATTAATCAGAACAGTGCAGTCCATCCGTGCCTTGGAGGGAACCTACATTCTCAACCACCTCTTCCAGAGAAAAAGAGATCCTCTGAAGGGGACCGTTCCTTCACCTCCATCTCACCTTCTTCAAGTGGTTTCTCAAGCCCCCACAGTGGAAGTACAATCAGCATCCCCTTCCCAAGTGTTCTCCCAGATTTCTCGAACACTTTAAACACTTCCCTGGTGCCAGGTAGGTTCTGCATCAGAGAAATGCATAACGTATCAGAATGGTATGAGGTTTTTCTCTCAGTGAGGAGGGATTTAAAATGAAAAGGAGCTAAAAAGCAGTGGAAGGAAAATGGAGGACTTGATTTACGCTAAGAGGCACTAGTTCACTATTTTATATGAGCTGTTCTGAAGACTGTGGTGCAGAATTGTTCCTGCCATACTTATCTGTCAGCCCACCTTTGGAGTTGTGAAATCACAAACAAGCAGTATCTAGTCCAACCTCTTAATAATGGATGGTTTATTTCTGCATCTTTGTGGAAAGAATAGTTAAAAATAATGATATGTATTCATTGGATCTTACTGAGAATATAACTTTGGTATAACTTTATAAACATAAGAGTTTTCCATATCTTAGAGGTTTTGCAAAATTAAACTTTAAGAGAGCTTTCAGAATGTTAATGTAGGTTATTATACATTTTGGTTCTAAAACATTCAGATTTTTTTTCTCTATTCATTAGATTTTAGAACAATTAATGTGATTGGAAGTTAGAAAGAAAAGCAAAAATGCTTTAATATTTAGAAAATTTGTTGACTTCTTTTTTTGCCTTTTATTTCACAGAAAACACAACAGAGAAACAAGTGACTGTAAAATTTGTCCAGGACACATCCAAGTTTTGGTATAAACCAGATATTTCAAGAGAACAAGGTATATCAGCTGAGGTATATTCTGGGGTATATGTTTATTAGTAGGCTGGCTGGTGTGTGCATATTAACTTTTTATTTAAGATTACCAGATGTATGGGGTAATTATAAGAAAAATTACAAAATATAAAAGTAAGACAACTTCAATTTGTCTGAAAGCTGAATTTGAGAGTGAAAGGCATTTATGCCTGAGAAAATGTTGCATTAATCATGCAAATTATTATCCTCACTCTCCTAATCACATAGTAACTTAGAACTTCCTCTGGAAGCTGCTTCATAAGTACTTTAATGAGAAACTAGCTTCTGTTGCCTCCTCACAACAGTGGGAGTCATTTTAAGGTATGCTGAAGGAAAATGAAAACTGAATGTGCTCTTTTAATGCAGTCTTGTGTGATGATGAGTTTTCATCAGTGTGTCTGACAGAGCTGTTTTGGCCTCCAAGTTTTGGAATAGCATGTATGCACAATCCAGCAGCAAACCACAGCTGTTCGCAGAAATTATTTGAGTACAAATATGCTGCTCTGGCATAATTTCATGTGTGTTTCCCAGTGTTGATAGGTTGAGAGATGCTAAGTAGGAGAGGGTAACTTATTATCTAGAACTCACCATAAAAGCATCCTCATTTACCAGTTGTTACATCATGACTGTCCCAGCTACAGAACTCTTCTGTGAAATAACATCTTTATGATGTACAACACAGATACATCTGTATGTAGATGTATTACGAGATGGAGAACACTTTTGCTGTGTATGTGGCAGTGTATACCTGCAAACTTTTCGTTGCAGGGACAAAATATATGTAAATGAAGAATGTTGGGTGCTTTGTAAATGACAGTTTTTGTGTCTATACTGTAACATTCAACTATATTGAATAGTATTTAGTGAGTATACTATTGAATAGTATTTAGTGAGTTATGGCAGTGCCATCATTGGCAGCATTTTAAACATTGGCATCACATGGCAGCTGGGATTCTTAAAATGTGTTGAAAAGGAAAATGACAAATAGAGTCTGCATTGGAAAGGAAGTTCACCTCATAAAACTGGAAGTGAAACCAAATAGCCTTCAGTACTGGTAAATGAATTACTGTGTCTTTCTTGTTCACAGTCTGTCAAACTGTGGGAGTGACCCATATATTGTGGTAGTAAATTTGAACCTGGGAGAATAAAGATCATAGAAAATAGATTATTTATTAATCTCTGGATGATGTTTTACTGGTCATTTCACTCCCCTTCTCACTTTTTCACTCCCCTTCTCACTTTCTGATCCAGAAAATATGTAGAAAATGTTCCCTGACTGGGTGTGAATTCAAATAGAAGAGATCATAAAGAAAGATTAAAGCTCACTGTTAGACCAAATTAAAAAAAATCTTCCTAACATTTTAGTATGCTTCTCTTTACTGTACCAATTAAAATAACTTTTAAAAAGTGTTCTAAGAGACTTTCACTGAGGAAGGGAGCATCTTCTCTCTTGACAGGGCCACAGTGTGTGAAGAGGAATTGTCATGGGCTGCATATGTAGATTGCACTGAAACTAATGCCTCCTATTGATTTCCATGGAAACTACAACTTATACAGAGAGCACAATAATACTGTATAATAGAGCACATTCTCAGCTACAAAACACTATTCATCATGGTCACTACCATTAGCTACGTTAGCACTATCTTTTGGCTAAGATCACATGTGGTATCTCTTCTTATCAGTTTCACCTTTTGGCACATTTACAATTATAAGCATTGGAAGTCTTTTTTATTTGTTTGAATTTTATTTGATTTGGGTTTACTTCTCTCAAGGGAGGATAGTCTTTCATCAACTTAAACCTAAACTTTGGTTGAAGCTTACATCAGCACTGTCAGCTTGAAGCTGTCTCTGCAGTGCCAGGAAGTTTGTATGTGTCAGTGTCAGGTATGGGCACAAAGGTCAGATACTAACCTAGGTCATTACTGCAGCAGTAGTTACCTATTTTTTGCACAGTGTTCTTGATTGAATATCAAGGCCCTGGAGCATGTTCAGAGAAGGGCAACAAAGCTGGTGAGGGGTCTTATGAGGGGCTGGGATTGTTCAGTCAGGAGAAGAGGAGGCTCAGGGGAGACCTTATTGCTCTCTATAACTACCTGAAGGGAGGCTGTAGCAAGCTGGGGGTCGGCCTCTTCTCTCGTGTAACTGGTGATAGGACTAGAGGGAATGGTTTCAAGCTGCGCCACGGGGAGATTCAGGATGGATATGAGGAAATATTACTCTGAAAGAGTGGTCAGGCACTGGAATGGGCTGCACAGGGAGGTGGTGGAATCAGCGACCCTGGAGGTGTTCAAGGAACTTTTGGATGTTGTGTTGGGGGACATGGTTTAGTGGAACTATTGGTGATAGGTGGATGGTTGGACTGGATGATTCTGTGGTCTTTTCCAACCTTGGAGATTCTGTGGTTCTGTGATGAATGAAAAAGCATGCAACAAGTAAAAAAGCATGTGACAACCTCTGGCTGTATACAGATGTTCCAGCTACTATAGTTATTCACAGATGCAAGTGTTTCCAACTAATTGCATGCAGGCACTTATCTGAGGTACAGATCTACACTATTGTGTGAAAATAACAAATGATCAGTTACAGCCTAGTGGGCAGTAGAGATCTGTTGCCTGCTCTGCATATCAGGAGTTTACCACTAACCAGCATTTTCTGCTGGAAATACTGTTGCCTAAGACTTGGCAGGATTTGCACACCCTTTACAGTTGAAAAAATCACTGGGGATCTGTACTTCAGATTTCTTTTGAAATAAGTATCTGTGAGATTCGTGCAAGATACTTTCAGATCCTCCAAATGTGAATGATTGTAGTCTCTTTTACAGAACATAAAAATATCTTGTTTACTCTTTTTAATTATAGATTTACAACTATAACTTTTTGGTGTATGCATTGTTCTGGAAATGTTTTTTTTCTTTCATTTCTGAAATTCCTTACAGCCATTGCTGTTCTCAAGGACAAGGAGCCTGGGTCATTTGTTGTTCGAGACAGTCATTCTTTCCGGGGAGCCTATGGGCTAGCAATAAAGGTTGCTTCACCACCTCCTTCTGTACTGCAGATGAACAAGAAAGGTACTGTTTGCCTTCTTTCTGTCCTTAAACAAACTATGTGTGGTAGGAAGTCTGTACTACTGTGTGTTAATCTGGAGGCATCTTCCACTTCCAGTAAGCGCATCTGGAATTACAGGCTCCTTTTGGTTCCTTGTGGCATTTAATTGAACACAACTGGATATTTGTTGTACTTAACAGTTTCACCATGGTTTGTAAATAGTTCTACATTGTGGTAGTCCATACTTCATCAACCAGATAGCAAAACAATGCCATCTCAGTAATGTGCCCTCCTTAGCAATTAGAAGTCTGTGTTTGATCCATACTGCCACCATGTAAAGTTTTCACTTGGCTGGGAGATTTTATAGTTTTGACCCCAGTATTTTGTTTCGAGACAGTTATACATTAAATTTAAATCTAAGGAGGTCCCCTAAGGAAAGATGTTAGTTGTTTGAAAGGTATGGTGAAAAAGTGCAGCCTCCCATCGCCACTGCCTCTGTACATAAGTTATGCCTGATAGTTGTGAAAGGTAAAATGAAAAGAACATATGGAGAGCATAAATTAATCTGTGGGAATGTGGGGGGCACTGTCTGTAGTGTTCTTGACTCCACCTGTGCTATTGCATAGGATGTGGTGTGATTTTCATTGCTACTGTTGATTTTCATTGCTAATGCTTGATGAGAAGAGAACAAAGATCACAAGAATGCAGTGAATTTGAGTGCTGTGGTTATAGAAATGCTTTGTTCTCATTTTTCTTTTTACTAAGGTTTCATGCTTACTTAGGGACAAGAAAAGTAATCTATCTGTAATACAGTAATTTTGAATTCTGTATGCTTAATCTGGTACATTGAAGCAATTTCTTCTAACAGTTGTCATCCTCTGTGTTGTCAGAAAGGATCAGCAGAACCTCTTTGGTGTCTAACTTGAGGTAGACAATTAGGGCATGCTGGAAGAAATTGCCTCTGTATTAATTTATTTTTAATATTCTGTCAGTGCAGTGACAAACAGTAGGCTGTCTGAAATGGTGATCTTTGCTATATTTGCTTGAATAGAACTTTCTGCTCTCCACATTAATGCATTCATCTATCTTAGCCTGAAAGTCAGCCTTTGATGTCATGTATTCCCTGGACTGTGGCTGATTCATTGAGAATCAAAAGGAACATTTGTATTCATGGCTCTTCTGTTGAGGTTTGAATGCTTTAACAGGTTTTTTCTTTATTGTTATGAGCTAATCCTTTCATTGCTTGGAGAGAGCTCCAATTTGTAGACAGGTGTGAAATACTGTGAACCAGTTGCTCAGGAAGTAATGAAATTATCTTAATTTCATGTGTGCATATGAATCTATATATTTAAAAGGATGCTAAATCTCAAGGGATTCTTATTCTTTGAATCTCTTTATTACATCCCACTTACAGTTTTAAATTTGTCTTGGAGCCCTGGGAGATAAAAACTGTATTTAAAAATATAGTGAGCTACAGAAACCTGAGAGTTTCATGTAATTGCCTGTAATTCATATAATTGCTTCAGGTGTAAAGGTTTAGTGTAAAACTGAAAGCATTTGAAGACTTAAAAATTTTGAGAGACAAGCAAATTCCCCTTACCTTTGTGCAGCTAAATCTTCTGTTGTTTTTATCTGGAGACATTCTGTGAGCAATTCTGTCCCTAGAACTCTGGGTATCATACTTTTAGTTCTTTGTCACACTGGATACAAGTTCTTCTAATTGGCACGTATGTCAGAAGTTCTAGCCATTAATTTTCAAAACACCTTTTCCTGTCTGTATTTGGGACCATCTGTCTGTATTTGGGACCATGCTTAGACACCAGTGCATATTTGGATGGCAGTATCTTATGATTATAAGACTTTTTTCTCTGTATGTCTGAAGTGAGCTATTTGCCTGGTTGTTGTTTTTTTTGTTTGTTTGTTTGTTTGTTTTCAGAATTGCCTTTTCATTATGTCTTATAACATTGTTGCAGAGCATCTCTGATGTGTTTGTATGTTGTGTACAAAACATATGGTGTTAATGTGGAAAACAGCTTTGTAAAGACCTGCTGATGTGTGAGACTATTGCATGTTCCTTGCATCTCTTCATGTGTTTCTTTGTTCTTTTTTAACACAGTTGGAGATTTGTCAAATGAACTTGTAAGGCATTTTCTGATTGAGTGCTCTCAGAAGGGGGTTCACTTGAAAGGATGCCCAAATGAACCATGCTTTGGTAAGTACTGTGTGTCACAGGGACATAGAAAATGAAAATAATTTGCTTTTGCCAGAGCTGTTTTATAGACTTGGACAGAGTGGAGGATTTCTGTAGGAACCCATTCTAGCAGCCTTGTGCACATAAGGTATAGGTGCAGAGCACTCTAGCACAGATGCACATGATCAAGCTTCAAGTTGTCATGCTCAACCACTGACAGCACTGCTATAGACTTCATAGCTAGATGAATTTTGAAGGCCTTATATATTAAGACTTTTGCCTTATTTTATCCTATACAGTATTAAAAGTAGAAGATGGCTGAAAGGACAGAGTATCACTCACATAAAACATGCATTATGGCACATCAGCCTACATAATATAATGCAGTGAAATTATGCATTGTGGTAAACAAGAAAATAACCACCCATAATCACCATCTTCAGTGGGGTAGGAAGAGAAAATAGGATGACAAAGCTCAAGATTAATGCAGGAAGATTGCTTACTAGTTACTAATGCAGGCAAATAGAATTCACTTTGGAAAAATTCATTTAATTTACTGCCAATTAAAATAGATCTGGGTAGTGAGAAACAAGGACACACATTAAAATAACACTTTTTTCCTTCTGCTCTTTCTGAGCTCAATTTCACTTTTTCATCCCAGACCTCTCAATTCTCACCCCAGACAAGGTGTTAAAAGAGTGGTTGGGGACAATATGGTCAGTACTTAACAATTACTCTGTGGCTTCTTCCTTCTTCCACTTCTCATGTGTTGAATCATGGACTCTCCTCAGGCTACAATTGCCTGACCATCCTTTCATAGAAATATTTCATAAGGTCCAACCTCAATCTCCCCTGGCACAACTTGAGTTCATTCCCTCTAGTCATATCACTAGTTACATAGGAGAAGAAGCCAACTCCCACCTCACCACAACCTCCTTTCAGGTAGTTGTAGAGAGTGATAAGCTCATCCCTGAGCATCTCTTCTCCAGACTGAACAATCCCAGCTCCCTCAGCTGTTCCTCATAAAGCCTGTGCTGCAGACCCCTCACCAGCTTTGCTACCCTTCTCTGAACCCGCCCTGGGGCCTCAGTGTCTTTCTTGTAGTGAAGGGCCCAAAACTGAACACAGTACTCAAGGTGCATCCTCACCAAGGCTGAGGTGCATGTAGACAAAGCACCAGACAGAGAAATTGGGTGGCTAAGAAGTGGAACTCCTTTTTGTTTCACTGCTTCGTAGCATAGCATTGACTCCTTGTGCTCTTGCTTTCTTAAAAGTACTGAAAGGAACTCCGTATGTTATTGTTTGTTTCATCTTTGCACTTCTTAAATTGGAAGCAAAGCCCTTTAGAGTAGGATTTAAGCAGTGTATTTCAGCAAGCAAGGGAGCATCTAATTGTGATTAATGGCTATAATTCAAGTATGTCCACCTAAAATAGCGCTGGGGAACGTTGAATCCACTTACGCTGAGTGGAAAAGGTCTTGGTTTAGGTGCCACGAAAATATTATTCAAGGGTATGTGTGTATATATGTGTGTGAGATGTGCTGGAGCTTGGTCTGTAAAATACTTGGAAACTAATGCAACTGTTAAACATTACTTTTGTCCGCCATATTAATTGTGTATGTTTTGCTACTCTTCTGACCACAGGGAGTTTGACCGCTCTGGTGTACCAGCATTCCATTACTCCACTGGCATTGCCCTGTAAGCTCCTCATCCCAAACAGAGGTATGCTTGTTAAAGTACAGAAAGAAGATGCTCAGCCGAGGCTATGCTTCAAAGTGCCAATGTCTGAAGGCTGGTGAACACATCAATAGTCAAAATCTGTGCAAAAGCCTACAGGAAAAGAAGCTGAGTTTGAAAGTAGCCGTTTGGTACTGCTGAGTGCTCTTAACCAAGCTGCAACCTTAAGACAACTGCAAAACGTATTTATACTTGCCCCATAATTCAGTTGTCTGTTATTGTCCGACATGAAGTTAGTTCCAGATGTATTACTAAAACGTTAAACTTTTGTGTGGTTTTCTACTGAACTCTTCAAGTCTTTGATAAAGACCATATGCCAGTATTCCAACATAGCATTTGACTAGTGCAAAGAAAATGAAACCATTTTAGCATAAAAATGTGCTGCAGTGTGTATGATAAGAAATTTCTGTATATGGCTTATTCTTGTTATCTTCTTCAGCTCTTGCTGTTCTGGCAGGGAAATAGAACTGAAACATTTGTTTTATTCTTGATAAATGTACCAGAGTGAAATTTTATTTGGATTTATTTGGAATCTGGTATGATCAGCTATTTTAATATGATTTTCTGTGGTCAATGATTCTGGACACAGTACACAAAGTATTTAAAGCATATGGATAATGCTAAACATGAGTAGTGTCACAAATAGCATTACTATTCTCTTCCTTATTTGAGTCTATTAAAATACAGTATACACCATGCTAAATACATCACAGAGATTTTACACACTTCTATATAACTGAAATAATGTATTGATGTACAGTTTTTTCACTAATTTTAGGAGAAGATTTGGAGACCAGCATCCTACTGCTGTCTTAGTATATGTTGTGTAATTATGTCTATGACTATCAGGAAATAAATGTTGAACATCCCTCCTGCAGCACTATCAGAAAAAAACTGATGCATCACAAGGAAGACATGGCATGACTGATTATACGTGCAGATGCAAGATTGTTAAATGCTTCTCTCCAAGATTTACCAGTACATGAAATCACAGCTTAAAAAACTAGACTCATTCTTGATGGTATGCATTGACTTATCTTTCAGCTACAGACAAGACATGGATAATGTTTTTTGTTTGCAGATCCATTGGAAGAGATGGCAGAAACTTCTCCACAGACCGCTGCAAACTCAGCAACAGAACTTCTCAAACAGGGTGCAGGTTGGTAAACTTTTTCCTTGTATTTGATTCTTTCCAAATTTTATATCTGGCAGGCTGTTAAAAACCAATGCTGAGACTGGACTGAAGAACAAGCTCAAAGAGGGTAAATTTAGGTTAGATATAAGGAAGAAATCTTTTACAGTGAGGGTGATGAAGCACTGGAACAGGTTGCCCAGTGTTGTGGTTGGTACCCTGTCACTGGAGTCTTTCAGGGTGAGGCTGGATAAGGCCCTGGGCAACCTGATCCAGCTGTAGTGTCCCTGTTCATTGCATTGGAGTTGGACTAGATGGCCCTCAGAGGACTCTTCCAACTGTAAGGATTCTGTGATTCTATGAACAATTAATTGTACAGTAATTTGTAAGCAGTGCCATTAGTTTCATGATGATAAACTAACATATCTTAGGAAGTGACAACAGAACACTAGAAACTATACAGGTAAGTGGCTTTTGCCTAAAACAGACCTTGTTTTATTAACTTTCCTGTTTGGCAGCAAAATACTATGCCCCAAATAAATGCAAGTTCTTCATATAAATTTCCACCAATATAGTCAAGATCTAAGCATTCTTTCATGAAGAGCTCTAGATCTGTACAAAACCTAAGTAACAATGTGAGAATAAGAAACACTATGATTTGGAATTTATTCACAATTTTGGATGGACAAAATAGAATGTTATGTAATGAAAGAGGCCTCAGAGTTCATTTGCAAAATCTTGCTATGAATTCTATAGTGATCGATCCAAATAAATTAGTACACCAATGCACGAACACACTTCTGAATTCTTTGACTTAGAAATCATCCAGGTAAGATCTCTGGATTCCTTCTTTCACTGGCAGCACCCAGAACTTTAATTTACTAGGCTGATGATATTCATGCTGGAATCCAACTTAGCTTCTTTAGTTTGTAACAGTATGATTGCTTAGCTGTTCTGAATATATTGGTATCTAGCTATATATTTTATATAGACAGTAATAAGAAAAAAAAAAAGCTTTAATCAAATTATAGAGTTGCTGTTATAGAGTAGCCGTATAAAAAAATTAATCTTTTACATTTGATCTTTGTTTACATGGTAAGGTTTGCAAACCAGGCTAAACTGTTAACAAATCAAATATTAGCATGGTAATTTGCATGGTCCAGCTGCCAGAGTTGGAAATCCTTTCCTGGATACCTAAACAAATGTTTTTACCAAAACACAAAGTCTGTTGGTAGCAGTTTGTCACCAGTATTTAAGTATGCTTTCTTCTGCATAGGTGACTTCTTAATACCAAAAACATTATTAATCTGCTTGTAAATTTGACTTTATAACACAAGGTGAAAGTATTTAATTGAGTGAATACTACTTCTAATACTATATAATATTATTAATACCATATAATACTGTGTGGTGCTGTTACCATGTAATACTGCATAGCCCTATACACTACTATAGTACTACCATACAGTGCTACTTAATATTAATACCTAGTGATCACTGCAGATTTGTTTTGAGACCAGCTAAAAATAATTAACTGTTTGGTAGCTTTAGAAACCAATGAGCAAATCTTTATGGAGATACATCAGGAGTACTAAAGTCTGTAGGAGGAAAACAAGGGTTCCTGAACTTCTTTACCTCAGCATGCATTTATAAACCTAAAACATGGATGGTTGTGGAAGTTGCTTTATTTGCCTTAAAAATTACAGAACATAGAAAGCATTACAGAATTAGCAAGAAAAGAATTCTGCAGCAGTCCTCAGTTCTTTGGTGAGAGAAAATGTTCAGCAGGAAAAGAACAAGTAAATGGTTTCTTTTGAGGGTAACTTAATCATCATTTAAAAGTGTGAACTGTGTCAATTTATACTAAAAAAAAATACGTATTTTTTCACTGGCTGCTTGAACTGAGTTTTTATGCAAAATATCCCCACTCTTTCCCATTAGGAATGCTTTTGCTGTAGAAGTACATAGGTTCCCCTGAAAGTAACTCTTCCTGTTTATTTTCATGGAAACTATAACAGATACAGAAAGCACAAAGCTATCTGATAGAGTAAATTCTCAGCTACAAAACACTGTTTTTCAGTGTAGTCGCTACCACTAGCTATGTGTTTTTTTACTAGTGATGAACAAGAGCCTGCACGCCACACTTGTAAAAATCTGCACAAGCAGAGGTGATGCTGTCACCACTGCTGAAACACACCCCCACTGCCTCAGTGTGTTCACATCCACTGTTTGGTCTCCATTACACATTCAGCAAGCATCAATGAATGTCAGTGGGTGCCATATTTCCATGTGGAGGGATTCAGTCACACACCTTTGTTTCGTATGCTCTCCCATATCAGGCACCATTTTGTTAGACTGCCCCTCTGCTGCCATTTTCACACAGCAACAAAATGCAGTGGGATGTTGGTGGGGAGGTTCAACGTCTGTTGCCACACCACTGACATCCACCTCCGATTTCATGGGCCAACATAATAAAATAGGAGGCATTACTTTCATAGCAGCCCTTGTACTCGTGAATGACTCGTCTCTATGCAGCTGCCTTGTATTAATTAAACTGTCAGGGTCTTTGGCTAAAAGAAATCTTACATTCCCTGGCTTAAATATAATGGCATTAAAAACAAAGGACAGTAAGAGGCTCCAAAACAAGCTCAAAAATTATCATCTTAAACTACAGAGCATTAGTGTGAAAAAGGTGAGGTAAAATACAACATTTGCTGGTTTGGTGTTTTCCTTTTTCACTGTATTACAGTGGAAGATGTATGTTTTATTTGGTTTTGTTCAGGAGATTCCTGTTGGTTTGTTGTTGGGTAATGACCTCCCCTCATTTACATTGCAGCATGTAATGTTTGGTATCTGAATTCAGTGGAGATGGAGTCCCTCACAGGCTACCAGGCAGTACAGAAAGCCTTCAGTCTGACACTGATGCAAGATCCTTCTCCCATCTCAACCATTGTCCATTTCAAGGTGTCTGCACAGGGAATCACACTGACAGATAACCAAAGAAAGTAAGCAAAGGAGGGGTGGGAAGGTAATTGTGTACTTACCACTGTAAGTGTCAGTTGCTGTTGACTCGTTTTTCCTAGTTGTGTTCTGCAGTCTCTGATTCAGATGATAACAGGATTGTCTAAAGAATGACAGTATCTGCTATCCTTTATGATTGTCAGTGGTTTGCAGTACTGGAGGGTGTATATTTTAAAATGTGTTGAAGTTGCATTTCCCACTGACACAGTATCTAAGTGTGCAGTTTTTAGAAAAAAATTATACTTCCAGTTCCTTTTCCTTTTCTTTGCTTTAGGGTCAGTAGTCCAAAACTTAAAAGTCACTGCTTCAAATATGAATTTATTTGGTTGGAGTGGGACTCCTTATAGTGACAGGACATAGGTCAGGATAATGACTTTAAATTAAAAGAGATTTGGATTAGATATTTGATATCTAGTATTAGATATTAGATAAGATCTTAGAGAGAAATCTTTTCTGACCCTAATAGTTCTATGATTCATGCAGTTCATGTAGCTTTTAAAATATGACTCAGTGATAACAAAAGCAAGATGTTGTCATTATTAAATCTTAATAGAGTTGGTTTTGTCTGTTCTGCTTATTGTTTAAAATTTTAAGCATCTTAACTCTTTCTGAAATATTTCATTTCTTCCTATCCAGACTCTTTTTCCGGCGACATTATCCAGTCAACACTGTTATTTTCTGTGCTTTGGATCCACAGGACAGAAAGTAAGCAAGAGCAGCACTATTACTAGTACATCATTTTTATTACTGATCTACAAAAAGCTAACTAAAATGTGATTTTTTATTTCTTCATTTCCTTTTTTTTCCCCCCGTAATTCTTTCTTATGGACATCAAGATGGATGAAAGATGGCCTTTCTGCAAAGTAAGTTCACACCTGTCTCTGTTTCTTTTAACTGAATGTTTTAGGACTATCATTACAGTTGTTAGTTTGTTACTCTTCTTACTAACTTTATCAGAGATGTTAAAGGGAGAGCAGCCATTCAGGAGTAAAAGTCCATTTATTGCAATTATACTTAATTTATTTCACCTGCACATCTTCAAGTAAGGCCTAATTAAGTGGGCTGATAGATGTCTGTAGACAGAGTTAGTGTGTCTTGTTTACATTGCAGATCTGCAATTTGCATGAAGTTTCAGAAATTAACACAGAGCCATTTGCTTCTTGGTTAAGTTGTTCCTCTTATCCAGCAGCACTAACAGTAGCTTGCTTATCTCACTTAGAAGTAGCTTTAAAAACAAAAAAAATGTCCCCAGCACAGCATGAAAACAGTCCCAGTAAAAAAAGCTACACCTGAAAACAGTCCCAGTAATACAAGTATCTGGCATAAGTAGATATTTACCAATAGATTGCCAAGTGTTTTCCACTGAATACCAACATCATTGTCTCCTTCTTACCAAAAGGAAAAACAGAGAGAGAGAACTCAGGCAGTGGTATCTGAAAACAGAAATAACTGGCTCAAATCCTGTTTTAAGTACCCTGTCTACTGAGATATGTGGCCCTCAAAACTTCTCATTATGCACTTTTTGACACACCTCTCTCTACCCCGACACATTCAGAACCCCCACCTCCAAGGTAGCTAAGAGAACAACAGTACTGAAACAGATTAAATATCCTCAAAGACAGTAGCATATCTGTGACAGCAAACAGTACAGGACACAAAAGAGAAAGTAGAATTAAGTGAGTAGTGTGCTAACCTTTTTCTGGCCATTCTGAGACAGAGGGAGTTCCTGAGTTGGCTAGAATATTTGTACTATATTTAACAGTTACACAGGGCCTTATCCTTTACAACAGATGTAGTCTGCTTTGTGCACTTGTTGTTGGCACTTTGTTTTTCTACAGTGTCTTTTTTAAGAAATGAGACCGGGTCTGTCTGTCTGTTCTCTGACACAGTGTGGTTGTTGTCCTTGCAGAGTATTTGGGTTTGTTGCCAGGAAGCAAGGCAGTGGCACAGACAATGTGTGCCACTTATTTGCAGAGCATGATCCAGAGCAACCTGCCAGTGCCATTGTGAATTTTGTGTCAAAGGTCATGATTGGATCCCAGAAGAAGATCTGACTGTTTTCCAACCTTGATTCAAGAGCTCTTCACTGACTTCGTTTAAGAAAAGCACTGTGATATGGAGAAAGCCTGATCAGCAGGAATGTCAATCCCAAGAAAGAGATCAGCCTTTTATCTGAAGATGCCTCTGATTTAGCGAAGCATTATTTGTTTCTTTCCATTTCAAAGGACAATGCAAAAGAAACTGGGTACCACCCAAACCTGTAGCCCGTATCTGAAAGAAGCATAAATGAAAAGCTTTTCTCCTGAAGGATTTCTAATATTATTTTCACATTTCATCATTTATTTCATTATTTCATCTTTTGGATCAGAAATACTCACTCACTACTAGACTGTGCTGTTTTTATGCAGAATTCATATAACCTCCACAAAGAAACTTGATGTAGTTGCATCAGTGGTAGCTATAGGTCCTGCAAACACGTTTTTTAAGGAGACCATTTGCTCTTTCCTTCATCTTTTTGGGAATCAGTGATGGGAACTGAACGGAGAAAGGGGAAGATGTATGTGACAAGAAGGCTTGTGTAAGTTGGTTTCTGATAAGAAAAGAGCAGCAATGTGGAAGATTGCACTGTATTTAGCATAAAGAAGAGTGGGCAGTTTTAATGGGAATGGTTTAAAACAGAGGAGACAGCAGAACAGAAAAAAAAATGGTTGCATGGAAACATTCTGTAATTGTATATTTTATTTTTTTTTAATACTAAGAACTAAGGGAAGATGTTTTAATAATAATCGCAGGATAAAAATGAGGGAAAAGCAAATAAATTTTTATAACTTATATTTTCGCCTGTGCCAGATTATTTATAGTAAACCTCAGATCTTGCTATTTCATATGGGTATTTGTGGAAAAAGAATGTTGAGGTTTGTCACTCAGCACTATTTTGTGTAAGTAAAAATATACCTTGCTATAGATGACAGAGTATCATGTTTTTACTTCTGCTTTATAGTGACAAGTTAATTCCCTTTTCCACGTCTCTTTGCAACACTGCTTTGGCAGTAATATTTGTTCCCCTAATTCTTATGTAATTGGGTTCTTTTTGCTCCCCTTTTTATTGGACACTTGGGGATTTATTTTTGAATTTTTTAATCTGTAGGAAGGATTGTTATGGTTTATAACTTTTAATAATTCCTTGAGACAAGAAATGCAAAAGGGAATTGAATTTATTTTGTTACTCTGTCCAGTTTCTTGAGATATTTCTGTCATGATTTGTACAGCTGTCACATCTATAAGTATCTTTGTATATCTTTCTAAACACATCTGTATTTTAAATGCGTAACAAAACACTAGTTAACTTCATAGCAATGCAATATTACAGGAAATGGATACAAGAGGTTAGAATGGTAATATTCACAAGCTAAGCCATCTGAGGTCTACTGTGTAATTCCAAAAAGAACAGTCCTAGACCTCCGTATTAGAACTGAGGAGAATAAAGCAACTGCAATGTGACAGTGCTAAAATTTTTATTGCTTCTATTTCTTTTATGAGTTGCTGTAAATGTTTCATTAATAACCTGTGGAATAAAATATGAATTCAGCATAATGGATGCACGAGGCACTGGATTAACTAGTATCCTAGAGGATTTCATCCTTTAATCCTATTTTACTAAATAATGACTTAATCAAATGGAACAATATGATAGAGCTGGTTCCACAATCTGAATGATGTTTATCCTGTATAATTGGTGATTTGATTTTTATTAATAGCTTTCATCCCGATTTTCCTTAAGTATTGGGACTGCGAAAGCCTTACTCAGTCACCATACCCCAAAATATTACCAAATTGCTTGGTTAACTAACAGCTCTATATAAGTAAACTTTATAAATAACCCCTTACAAGGAAAGGGAGCGAGAAACAGAATAGATTTGAAATCTAATATATTGGGACCAAAAAGTGGTGAATTAGTAACAGCAGACACAGGATGTCATAGAACGGTGAAGCAATCCAAAGTATTGTAGCTACCATTGAAGCAACAAAAGCAAGTGCTATTAATTTTTACTAAATTATTTTCTTCTTCTGATGCAGAGGTATACTGCTGAAATGGTGTGTATGTACCATTCAGAAATACATTTTTTATTTTTAGGAGTTCTGATTCTTTTGAAACACGTGGACACAAGTTCCTTTTAGTATTCTTTTGATGTACCAAGAATGCAGTTACCTGATCTGGTCAGAAAGCTGCAGTGCAGTGAATTTTTTCAGCTGACATCTCAATTAGATTGTCAGATTTTCTGGGAGGAAAATGTTACACAATAAATCTGATGTGCTTTGAGCATTTTAAAATATTTTTTTCACTTTTTTTAGGTGATAGTTGAATTTGAGTGTGCCTTTCTAGACACCAAGTCTAGGCCTCCGGTCTGTTTTTTATGATGTATTGTCATTTCAATTTGAGGCTTCACTTTTTATTCTTTATGCGTTCTCGTGGCCTTCTGAGTTCAGGAGCATAAGGAATTGAATGTTACCACTCCTGGTGGTGTTTCCTGGTTGTTCAGATTTATTTGGTAAGTAGGACAAAGAAATTGCCCCGTTTCTAAGGGAGTTCTACTATATTCATTCCTTTGGATGCTATATTGTCACATGCTTTTGCTTCTTAATGAGTTAAAAATCGCACAAAGCAAAACAGTTCACTATGTACCATTGTGTATTGTATGTAGAAGGATATTGACTAAACTTATGTTTGTGACAAATACAGGATTAAATAGTTAATGCAGCACTTTCTTTCGAAGGTTTTTGGTAGATCTGTATATGCGGTTTCATAACTAATGCCAGCAAGTTGACACACATATTTAGCCAGGCTCCTATTAACCTGCTTATTATACTTATTATACTAATTATAGCATTAAAATTTTACAACACTAAACCACAAAAAATGCTGAAAATCATGTTTTTAATTAAATGGTTTCTATGTATCCAACATTATCGTTAAAAATGTAATGTTCTTTTATTTACCTACTAGTGAAAATGTTTGCCTTTTCTTTAAACAATAAGGCAACAGAAGGTCTTCAGTATGTAAATTAATGTTCTATAAATCCTTTGTATAGTCATTTTCTCTGCTTTCCAAATATTGCCTTGATTCAGATTATAATAAAATTATGAATGTGAAATTTCACAGCACAGTGTTACAGGTAGTCTTTTCTGAAAGACAGTTGTTTTTCTGCATTCAAGACCAATTAATGAAGGAAGTCTTGGTGAGGTGGGAAAAGATTGAGTGCTGAAGCAAGGGTTTAATTTTGTTTTATAAAGATTTCTTTCAAGGATCTGACACCACAGACTTCTATGGAGTCTTAGCAATTCAAGTGTAATCAAACCATGTGGTTTTTTCTCGTGCATTTCCTTTTAAAATAGCATAGAAGTGCCTTTTGCCTGCACTGCATATTTCAGTTTAAGGAGAAAGAATTTATGATGCCACTTTCTGAAATACTCGTATGCATTTAAATGACTTAACTGTAGCCACTGCTCCATCACCATGACTACAGAATCACAGAATCACAGAATCACAGAATGGCCTGGGTTGAAAAATGACTACATTAGAAGAACTTGCAGAGGAGCATGGAGAAGGTGGGTAAAAGGAAAGGTGGAGAGATTAGAAATCTAACCCCTAGTTAAAGTTGCTCTCTGTATACTAAATCTGTGCATCAGCCCCAGATTAAAGTTTTTTTATTTATTATATACATGCATTATTAGGATTACTTCTGAGAACGATAAGCTCTAGTATACAGTGCTAATGCCTTTTCTGTGAGGCATAGGCTGGAATTTCTCATTCTGTCTGCTTGACTGGAAGATGGGGAGCAGAATAGGTCCCCCACAGTTCAGGAGGAAACAGCAACCTTCTCTACCAAGACTGTTACACATCTAAGGGTCCAGATGGGATCCACTCAAGGGTACTGAGGGAGCTGATGGAAATGCTTTCCAAGCCATTTTCTGTCATTTATTAGCAGTCCATGTCAACCAGGAAGGTCCCAGGTGACTACAGACCTGCCAGTGTGATGTTTATCTACAAGAATTGTCAGAAGGAAGATCTGGGAGACTGTCAGCCTGACCTCAATATCAGGAAGGCTGTGGAGCAAACAATCTGAGGAGTGGTCACGCTCTGTGAGCAGAACAACCAGGGGATCAGACCGAGCCAGCATAGGTTCATGAAAAGCAGGATCCTGCTTGACCAATCTGATCTCCTTCTATATAGGTGACCACCTAGTGGATGAGGGAAGGACAATGGATGTAGTGTAGAGGTCGCTTACGCCTTTGACACCATCACACACAGCGTTCTCTTGGAGAAAGTGGCAGCTCACAGCTTAGAGGGGAGTACTCTTCGCTGGGTAAAAAACTGGCTGGATGACCAGGTTTAGAGACTGGTTGTGAATGGGATTAAAATCCACCTGAAGCTGAATCCACAAACTTTATGAGGGAGCAGCAGCTGTGGGAACTGAGATTGTTTATTCTGGAGGAGGCTTAAGAGAGACCTTATGGCTCTGCACTACCTGAAAGGAGGTTGTAGCAAGGTGAGAGTTGGTCTCTGTGCAGGTTACTAGCAGTAGGATGAGAGATAATGGCATCTAGTTGTGCCTGGGGAGGTTCAAGTTGCATTTGAGGAAAAATTTCTCATCTGAAAGAGTGGTCAAGCATTGGCTGCCCAGGGAGGTAGAGGAGTCACCACCCCAGAGCTTTTCAAGAAATATGTAGAGATAGCACTTAAGGACATGATTTGGTGGGCATAGTTGATAGGTTGGTAGTTGGGCTTAGAGATCTTTTCCAATCTTATTAATTGTTTGATTCTTATGAGGAAGGGCTGAGAGAGCTGTGACAATTCAGCCTAGAGGAAAGAAGACTTGAGAGGATCTTCCATCTGAAAAAAGGGAACAAAGAGGATAGAGCCAGGCTCTTTTCTCTTATCCCCGAGTACCACTGAAAGAGGCAATGGGCAGAATCTGAAACATGGGAGATTCCATATGAACATCAGAGAACTTTTTTTTAATTTGTAGATGTCTGAGCCCTGGCACAGGTTGCTGAGAGAGGTTGTAGAGTCTCCATCCTTGGAGATATTCAGATGTGGTCTGTACATGGTCCATGGACATGGTCCTCTGCAGCCTGCTCTTGGTTTGATCAGGGTGTTTGGACCAGATGACCTCCAAAGGTCCCTTCCAATCTCATTCATTCTGTGATTCTGTAAATATTATTAAAACATTAAAATTAAGGCAAACACTTGTGCTTTATGCAAAAGAGACTTAATATCTTCTAAGGAAAGGAAATACAGTTTTGGATAGTTTGCATAAACATAACATCTGTGTTGGTCTGTTGGATATTTGTGGGCATTACTTCAGTCTGTGTTCATCTAGGTGTTGGTGGTTCTGTCTGTTTTTAGTTTATGAGCTTGCTTGCCATACAGAGATCCCACAAGACTTGGGCTAGCACCAAAGGTGTGAGGGGAGCCAGACCTGTGTCCCTTAACAGCAGGGATGAAGCAAATATTTGACTTGAGCTTGAGAGCAAGCTGAGGTGTGCTGCTTGCCAGCCAGCTGCAGAACATAACCTTGCATCTTAAATACTCCAGTGCTTGTTTGAAAGCAAAACTTGCCTAGTGACATACTCCATTTTGGGAGAGGTGTATCATTTATCTGTATTAAGGTTATCTCTAAAAAGGAGTTAATACTATGTAAAGCAAAAGTTTGCTTCATCTTTCTCAGAGATTTTTTATATAGAATGATTAAATTGGCCTAGGCAAAGGTGTGAGCTTAAATTTCATATTAATTTTGTAATAATCTCGGTGATGTTCTGATTGTAAAGCAAGAAAGTGACATATAAGTATATATATATATAAAAGTTCACTTTTATATACTATAACTACATCTGCTTATCTCTACTCGTCTAATTATTGGCTGTTTGAAGCCATACTACGTGCATCTTTGCTGCCATGCTTGCTGTCTGCTGTTGCCAATTTAAAGTAGAGGTTCCATGTATGAGGGATGCATGTAACCCTAGAGAGAACATTTGTGTTGTAAGGCATAGGGATGCATCCTGTTGGCTTAGCTGGTGACTTGAACATAGAAAGGCATCTGAACACCTTTAATAAATGTGCGTATATATAAACTTGTCTTACATTTGTCTATGTATGTGCACTTACCTTTACCTCATAACTTGCCCAGGACTCTCCTGATTGTGTCCAGCAGTGGGTACTTAGGGAAAGCACAGTGTCCAAGGTGAGTAGAATAATGCTCCATGGTATGGCTGGCAGTTCTTCACACTCTTCTTTCTAGAAGTACGGTACACTTTCTGACACCTGGGAGGTGACAGTAGCAAGGCATAGGAATAAACAGCGTAGTATTTTTCTGCTACTATCTTTTATGCAAGATGCTAGAATGTTACTTACCTGCTTTCAACATGAACTCTGAATGAATGCCCTCAAGACATTTTTTGGTAGTGCAATCAGTGAAGATTTGCAATATTATGAATAACTCATGCATTGCAGATTTTCTTAACTCCTGTACACAGAGGGAATAACTTCTGTGGTAATTCCTTTTGAATCAGCTATGTTCCTAAAAGGTGGACTTTAGAAGTTTAATGTTTTTACTAAAAATCCCATCAGAGAATGTTTCTGTTTCATTTATAACTAACTCTCTGAAGACCTGGAAGTTGGCTTCCCTAAAAATTAGCATTCTGATTTTACTCTTTGTCTCTCTGATATTCCTCAGGAGTGCAAATTCCACCGTTACATTATGTTGGTCTTAAATTGTTAAGAGACTGTTGGATTCTTTACTGGCTGATGATATGAGGCAATGGCAAGTAATGCCTTTATTTGTGAGTAACCAGAAGATGGTGCACAAAATTGCTGGATATCAACTAAACTTTTTTATGTGTAGAGGAAGAAGAAAGAAGGAGATGAAAAATGTGCTGGTTCATAAAGAAGCTCTTTTCTGAGAAAGTGAATATTTTGTGGCTTGTTCTCATGAACAACTGTTGTAAGAAAATAACTGGTTTAGTTCCTTCATGTTTTTCTACAGAATAATGAAAAATAGAAGAATCCTTAAAGCTTTATTTCCAATTAATTAGAGAAGAATTTTTAAAGTGTAGTTAGATCAGATTATAATCTTCAGTATTAACTGCTGTTTGCTATTTAATGAGAATTGCATTCCTGTTTAATACTTCAGTAGGTATGTTCCCAGCACCAGATTTAAAGCTGATAGTTCATAGAGTCATAGAACAGCTTGGGCTGGAAGGGACCTCCAGGATCATCAAGTTCCAACTCCCCTGCCACAGACAGGGCCACCAACCTCCATCTCTTAGGTCACACAGAAACTCATCCAGACAGGTTTTGAATGTCTCCAGAGAAGGAGACCCCACAACCTCTTTGGGCAGCCTGGTCCAGCGTCCCGTCACCCTCACTGTAAAGAAGTTTTTTCACATATTTACACAGAAGCTCTTGCATTCCAGCTTGCACCCCTTGTCCTATCATTGGATGTCAACGAGAAAAGCCTGGCTCCATCCTCCTGACACTCACACTTGACATATTTATAAACATTAATGAGGTCATCGCTCAGCCCTAGCAATTGCTTGAAAAGGCCAAGGTTGGCCCTACTGAAATGCAGGGCTGTGATTCTGTTCGGTACTCTGTTCTGGCCACATGGAATCCTGAACTCCACCACTTCATGGTCATTGCAAGCAAGGTTGCCCTCAACCTTCTCCGCTTCTACCAGACCTTCCTTATTAATGAGATCCAGCAGCACTCCTCTCCTAGTTGGCTCATCCGCCATTTGCATCAGGAAGTTATGATCAGCGCACTGCAGGAACCTCCTGGACTGTGGCTGGCTGGCTGAGCAGGCCTTCCAGCAAATATTCAGCAAAAATCCCCCACGATAACCAGATGCGAGGCTGCTATCAGCTGCCTGAAGAAGGCCTCATCAACTTCCTCGTCCCGATCCGGTGGCCTGTAGTAGACACCTACAACAGTATCACCCATGCCAACCTGTCCCTTAATTCTTACCCACAAACTCTCAATCTGCTCCTCATGCACTCCTGGACGGTATCAATACATTGTAGTTTCTCTCTCACGTAAAAAGCAACTCCAGCACCTTGCCTTACTGGCCTGTCTTTCCTGAGAAGCACATAGCCATGCATGACCACGTTCCAGTCACGTGAGCTGTCCCACCATGTCTCCATAATTGCTGCCCGATCATAATCGAGCTGAACATGGATTTCTAACTCCTCCTGCTTATTCCCCACGCTGCTTGCATTGGTGTACAGAGACATTTCAGGGAGCGAGCTGAGCATGCTGATTTCACCATAGGATGGTGGGAGGCTTCCTGGTCTTCATCAATACCAGAGCTCTGCCCCACCAGTGCAAGCCCGGTTACAGCCCCACCCCCCTTCAAATCTAGTTTAAGGCACCCCAGATGAGTCCCACTAATTCCCATCCCAGAAACCTTTTGCCCCTGTGAGATAAACCTTCCCCATGTGTTACTGTTAGGCCCGGTGTCTTATAAAACCAGCCATTTTCAAAAATCCCCAAACCTTGCCTTTAGCACCAGTCTCGTAGCCAAGCATTTATGGACTGGATCCTTCTATTCTGTCCCATAACCTCACCTGAAAATGGAAGGAGGGAAGAGAAATTAACTTGCTCTCCAGAGTCTTTCACCAACCATCCCAGGGCTTTGTAGTCTTTGGATTAAGCAAAAACAGCGAAACAGATGAAGCCTGTGTCAATGGCCTTAGGATCATGTCAAAGGCCTTAAATGTTTATAAGTCATGGATCTAGGAAAGAGAAAGTAAAGATAATTTTGTGTTTTATATTGGCTTAATTTGCTTGTCAGGAAGCAGCAGCAGCAAGACTGTGCAAGTGGCTGAGCCAGGAACTGTGCATTATTTGGTACGGACTGTACCCTTGCTGATGTGCTGAAGTCTCCAGGGTCTGAGCCAGGCAGACAGAACAGGGGACTGGTCATGGGTTTCAACAGCGAGCCCAGACAAGGTAGATGGTGAACCAAGTCCAGAATCTGGATGCAGGATTTATCAGGAAGGAAAAACACAGGGCTAAAGGAATGGCCAGAGGCAAGGCTATCAGAGTCTGAGGGGTCCATCCACGAACTGAAACTCAGCTTACTTTGTGATTTCCACCAGAGCAGGGAAGTCTGCCATAGCCAGAGCTGATATGTCACTCCTAGGTCCACGGGAGTGAGTGGCTATAGTTGGGGAGGCTGTTCAGAACCATAGAAGATTACTAATTCCCTTGGGTCCTGATAGTACTCCTGCAGAAAAAGCAATCTTTAACAGAATTGAAAAGATTCCTGTATTATTTCCACAAGTATTTAACTAAATAATGTAAGCACAAAGCTTTACAAACAATCCCTCTTGTAGTGAGGGGCCCAAAACTGCACAAAGTACTTGAGGTGCGGTCACACCAATGCCAAGTACAGAGGGACAATCCTTTCCTTAGTCCTGATGCAACTGATGCATGCTTTCAGGCATGTAGACATTCACCAGAACTTCTAAAAATAATCTTTAATTAACCTTTTTTGCCACCTTCCTGTTCTTAGATACTAATGACCTTTTAGCCAAGAGATCAAACACCATGAAGCTTTGGAATCTCCTCTTCACTCTCTACTGTCTGGTCAAAATCAATTCCACAAGCAGTGGGACTGCAGGAGTTTCATTTGCTTAAGAAAGCAGGGTCAGGTATTAGCTAAAAAGAAAAAAAAAAGGGAATAGCATCCATGCAGTATTTTGAAATATTTGTTTGAAACAACAAGGTGCAATTTAATGAAGAGATAATAGTAGCGATGTTCAAAAACTTCAGACTTTTTCAGAAAAGAATACTTCATCAAAACACCAGTTTTCAGTAACAGAAGTTACATATGCAAAAGCAGGTTACATTAATTTATTGGTACTGGGGTGACGTAACTTTGCTTCTAGGTAAACAAGGTTGCTTCATATACTGTGAATGCATATGGGAAATTATTTGAACAATAGGTTTTCTGTGAACTGCTTTCTTTAGACAGCAGCTGGTGTAGAAATTTTATTGAACACGAGGGTTGCTCTGAAAGTAATGCCTCCTATTATACTGTATTGGCTCACAACATCAGAGGTGAATGTTGGTGGTATGGCAGAAGAGGCAGAACATTGCACCAGTATTCATTTACATTTTATTGCCATACAAAAAAAAAAAAGGAAGCAGAGGGGCAGTCTGACAAAATGGTGTCTGACCATGGAAGGACATATGAAGCAAAGGTGTGACACTGAAATCCTCCATGTGAAAAAAAATGGCATCCATTGACATTCATTGGTGCTTGTTGAATCTTTATGGAGTCCAAACAATGGATTTGAGCACAAAGAGGAGGTAGTGGATGGTGCAGTGGCAACAGTAACAGTGGGTCTGCTCGGCTGGTGCAGGTTTTTATGAGCATTGGCATGTGAATTCTTATGCACTGCTGATGAAATGCATAGGTAGTGACTAGTTGAAAAATAGCATTTCTCAGCTGAGAATGTGCTTTATCAAATGGTGTTGTTTTGCTCTTTTTATCTGTTATAATTTCCATAAATAAGAAATAAATAGGAGGCACTCATTTTGAGCAATCTAGAGAGTTAGTTAAGGTTAATTAACCCTTTTCCCTACTCTTCCCCTTCCCCTTCCTTATCCAGTTTTCTAGAGTAGTAAAATTCTTCAATTCTAGTGAGATATGTTTTCAAGCTTATTTTATCCAGCAGGTGTCACTCGTTTATAAATAATCTTACTGAGATTTTTCAATACCAGCCCTTAAATAAGACAGAGCCTTCTGAAACAGTTGCCTGTCTCGTCAGATGTGTC